ACAATTTACGACGTTTTCATGTATTTTATGATTATTCATGGTTCAACAAGTTAAGGAAGCAGTATTGTAATATATTTCCCTACAATATATTGGGGCACCAAACATTCACGGTTTTTCAACATTCGCGAGGCTCTTGATCCCCTAACCCTCGCGAATGTTGAGGGAGACCTGTACAGAAATACATATACTGTCTATATAAAATATATTTCTCCGAGAAAGCTTAACCAAAAAAATGCAAAAATAATCTATTGACTGCAGAGGTAGGTATAGAAAGAAAAGGGTTACAGAACTGCTGGAAAACAAGCATATATCACAACAAAGGAAAGGTAACCTACAATGAGGGATTACCAAGACAGAGCAGAAACTAAAGCATTCATGATGAATGAGGGGAAAGAAATATAAACCTGAGTATTTCTGATGGTAAAAACGAATATAATAAAATCTTTAACCCTACAACTGTCCAAACGTAGATCTATGTTTTTACGTGTAGCACGCCGACCTTGATTTTCTCCATAAGAAAGCATGTAATAAAAAATGTAGATCTACGTTTGGAGTGCTACGCGAGCAAACGTAGATCTATGTTTGGACAGTTTAAGGGTTAAAGACAGCATGAGTCAATGTTGAGCAGTCTACTGAATGATGATAGATTGGAGGGTCCAGTTTGTTTCATTACCTCTGCCCACCCTACAAATTATAAATATGACATAAGCTCAAATCTTCAGAATTCCAGAAGGAAAAAGAGAGCATACCCCCACATGCAACACCAGGGCTGGATTCTTGGAACTCGTTATTTAAAAATACCACTATCACGTGCAATCAGTGCACTTTTGAGAGAGTTTGGATCTTGCTGAAATCCCAGAAGCCTTTAAAAATGTAGCCATGACTCCTCTGCAGTAAAGCCCAGGCTACAAACTACAGGTCAGTGGCACAAACATCACCCATTATAAAAAAAATCTTTGAGATGGTGATCTTATGTCAAAATGCAACCTACTTTAGAAAAAAAAAAAGGCATGATCAGTACAATCCAAGTCGATGTAGATTTAGAGAAGGAAGATTATGCTTGTCACAATTACTAGATCATGACAGCAGAATTAGAGTCTGGTAGAATCCCAAAATAGACATGGTATGTATGGACTATTTGACAAATGTGATCTTGGAGTTACAGCTGATAAAATAAGGTAAACAGGTATACCATAACACAGAATAGGCAGATAGATATTCAGTTTTCCGATAAATTAAGCACAAAGCAAAATGTAGCCTTAGCAAAGTAAAAAGTTCACTACCCCCAAGACACAACAATCCTTGCACCTTTCTTGTTTCTTGTGTGGCGGACTACACAAAAATTAGTACGACAGTTGCCTTTGTAAAGAGACCAAAAATTTGCAGTAGGATATAAACAAAGTCTTTCAATAGGGAATAGAAAATAACACGTTCATTGGTGACAAATGCCAATTGCTCAGATATGGAAAGGGTGAAGAACTCAAAAGGGGTACTGTATACAAAATGCAAAAATGAAAGGAGCGTGTAAAAAAGTTGTGAATATCACTGACGTTTGAAAAAACAAAATAATAAAATGCTGTAACAGCCTGGAAAAAACAGGCTGGATAATGAGAGCTTCAGAATGAGAAATCATGCCAGTGATACCTCTGCTCTCTTGCTTAGAGTATTGCTGTATTGACAGCTCCATTCAAGGCAGGAGATATATGCAACTGGAAAAGATGCAGAGAGCATTTACTGTCTACATAGAGCCAATAAAGCATTCAAACTATTGGGAATGCCTCGGAGAACTGGGAATGTACACTTTGAAGTGGGAGAGGTGGGTCAAGTTGTAATAAAGTTGGTAGAATTACCAACAATATGTAAAGCAAAAGAACACAAGTGCAGCTAATGTGACATTTTTACTGTGGCAACGTTTCGCTCTCCAGGAGCTTTGTCAAGCCGTTACAAACAGTACATGGACAAAGAGGGTATATATAGGCTCAGAGTGAGATGCAATACTAGTGGTAGTAGTAGTAGTGAGATAAGTTGTAGTAGTAGTAGAAATAAAATATGTTAGAACAATTAACTCGCACAGGAGTAAAAGGATATAAAAGGGTAACATAAAAATAAGTTAGACAAATATTTCTATTGGAGGCTGTTTGTTACCCCAAGTTATAGCTTTTATATCCTTTTACTCTTGTGCGAGTTAATTGTTCTAACATATTGTATTACTACTACTACTACTACAACTTATTTCACTACTACTACTACTACTACCACTAGTATTGCACCTCACTCTGAGCCTATACAGTGGTCCCTCGTTTTTCGTAATTAATCCGTTCCTGGAGTTGTTACTATAAACGAAATTTACGATTTGCGAATCAATTTTCCCCATAAGAAATAATGTAAATACAATTAATCCGTTCCTGACACCCAGAAGTATTAAAACAAAAAAAATTTTTACATGTAATATACATGTAGTACATAAACAATACAATGGGAAATGATGAATGAAACATTAACAGCGTAACACTTACCTTTATTGGAGATTCTTCTTAGTGTATGGGAGACTGGAGGAGGAGAGAGATTGGATTGTTTACAGTTTGGAAGGGGAATCCCCTTCCAGCAACACCTCAGGTACCAGTTGCTTCTCTGGGGTTGCTTCTCTTCTCTGTTTCTTAATGCCACTTGGACCACCTTGAGAGTCACTCTAGTCCTGTCTCGCAAAGTAACTGTGGAGAGAGCTGTTTCTGGCGTCTCTTTCACACTTCCCTAAAATGGCCCAAGACTTTGTCACTGTACATATTTCTCACCTTCTTTACCACAGGCTTGGCACTAGGAGCTTTCTTTGGAGCCATGGTAACTTATTTAGTACTTGCAAGCACTAAAATGAGTGGAATATTATGAAATATTTCGTAGAAGCACTTGAGGGGACCTTCACTCACTGGTAAACAATGCCAACTGGCTGGGTAGGGAGGCCTCCCTGGTGCACACCGTGCATACGCGTCCCGGACGAACTACTATTCGCGAGTCAACCTATGAAAAGCGAGTCCACGTTTATACGAAAATACCCCTATGATTGGCGAAATTTACGGTTGCCGAGAACTACGAAAAGCGAGGGACCACTGTATACTATACCCTCTTTGTCCATGTACTGTTTGTAACAGCTTGACAAAGCTCCTGGAGAGCGAAACGTTGCCACAGTAAAAATGTCACATTAGTTGCACTTGTGGGTGAAGTTGCTTGATAATATATACACAGCCTCTCCTCACTTAGCGACGTACTCGTGTACCAACCACTCAGACTTACAATGGGCTCTCGGACCAATATGCGTACCTAAATAATGTACATTAGAACTGATTGCCTCTGTTCTGTTTATTACAATATACAGTACACTATTGTATAAGAATTTAGAAATATATTAAAAATGTTATAAATGGTGCAAAGGTGACATTAACCCTTTCAGGGTCGGCAGGCCCTCTCCGAAACTTGTTCTCAGGGTCGGAAATTTTTCGAAAAAAAAAAAAATCTTATGAAAGGATAGAGAATCTTTTCTTGATCATAATGACACCAAAAGTATGAAATTTGATGGAAAACTTGCGAAGTTAGTAGTCTCGGCGATGTTTACGCATCGGCAATTTCGCCGACTTTGAGCCCGATTTTCGGCCAATTCCAATGTTCCAGTCGAAAACATCATAACTATTTCGCTAGAAGTCCATTTTTTCCATCAAATGAGTATAAGAAACCACCCATTTACCGATTTCAACTATCCAATAATGTGGTCAGAAATTGGCAATTTTGCCAATTTCACACAAATTTCAAAAGATGCCAATTTCCAAATAGGGTCCAAAATAAACAAGACACATTCCTGACACTAAAATAACATTTCCTCTGTTCATTAGTCACGTCCCCAGGCCTCTTACATTTCTTTTGCTTTCCACTTTGAATTTTTATTCTCACAAATAAATAGACTTACTGTTATGCAGACTACTGCATTAGTGTAGAAATGGTATAAATAATATCAGCGCACTTGTGAAAGAATATTAGACTCGCCAGTTGACGTGTATTGGACATGTGGCATGGTATGTTTACTTTTGAACTTTGGCAAAAATCGAACATTTCTGCTACTTTGAGCTCAATTTCAAGGTACTTTTCATTGTGAAACCAATCAAAATCATCTCTTTTCCTGTGATATATCTTCCATTCTATCAAGTGAGACCAAGAAAACAAGAATACAACCATAAATACCATACAAAAATGCAGTGCAAATTCGCTGTTTTAAACCAAAAACACGGTCAAAGTTTTTTTATCTCATTATGCACTGTGTGCTGCAGGATTTTTTTTTATACTGCGCACACTGACCACATAGATCCATTCTTTCATATGTAGGCCTACCAGCTTTCTCTCGCTAGATTTGAAGGCACTAGAATTTATGCGTACTAGTACGGCGCCAACCCTGGCGTGCAAGCCGTACCAGTACGGCACCAACCCTGAAAGGGTTAAAACAATATCAGAGATGGTTGACACAAACCCACTTCCATTATAGTATGCTCCTTGCTTAGCGATGAATTCGTTTGAAGACGTGGTCTTAGGAACGGAACTCTGTCGGTAAGTGAGGAGAGCCTGTCAGTATTGAGGATCTAGCTCCCAAATCTACAAACATTGAGGTACAAGGGTGAGAGAGAATGGGAAGAAGCATAAAATAGACCAAGTGAAAAGCAAGGGAGCCGCAGACACAATGAGAGAATGCTGTGGTAACCTCTGTGGGCCTCTGTTTCAACTTTTTGCCAGGAAATATCAGACATATTGCAGGAACCAGTATAGAATGTGAGTCAGTTGGCTGCCAACAGGAACAGCCTGGTTGACTAGGCAATCAGCAGGGAGGCCTAGCCCAGTACCAGGCAGGAAGAGTAGAAATAGAAAAACTTGAAACCATCATAGGTACTGGTGTAGTGTATGCAATGATTTTTTTCATAATTTGTGATAATATAAAAGTTCTTTCCTTGTGTTTTTGTTTTTAGGATGCACACAATTCAATTTTGGATTTTGACACGGATACTCACCTTTTTGCTGTATACGATGGCCATGGAGGGCATGAAGTGGCTGCATACACAGCGCTCAAGTTACCTGACTTCTTCAAGGATACCGAAGCATACAAGAGTGGAAATATTTCTCAAGCCCTTACAGATGCTTTCCTAGAGTTTGATGCTACTCTTGTCAAAGCTGACGTTGTTACTGTTCTCAAACAAATTGCGGGTACGAAGGACGAGGATGAAGATGAAGAAGGTATGAAGAGTGAATATCGTGAATTTTTTGGTTAGCTTTTTTTTTTTTTTTTTTTTTTTTTTTTTTTTTTTTTTGTGTGTGTGTGTGTGTGTGTGTGTGTGTGTGTGCGCATGTGTGTGTGTACCATATGAACTGTGCTTGCAATATTTCATCATCATTTTGTAGTTTAACATAGTTTTTTAGTGGTTGTAGTATGTCCTATCCAAAAATAAAGAAACTTTAGATAACGTTTCTGTTCTGGATTATATTGAGTTAGTCATGTCTTGCTCAGTAGTTTGGGAGAGAAGGGTTATTTATGAATTTCTCCAGCATTCTACCACTATTTGCAAAAAAAAAAAATATACTAGATTCCTTTTTGCATCTTCATTTTCTCTGAAAGTTCAGTAAACCATGAATTTGAGAATAGCTTATGTATACAGTATTAAAATTGGAGTCTAATCTAGTGCTAACTGACCTGAAGGATATAGAAAAATAGGGTTATGTTCCAGAAACCTCCAACAGTGCCAAAACACTTAAATTTTTAAAGTATCCTATGTTAAAAATAGTTGTTTATCTTTCCTTACAATCTGTTGGTCATTACTTGATGAATTTGAAGGGTATGAGAGAGTTAGCATTGACCTACTGGGGTGAGTTAGATAGAGACAGCATCAGCTGCCTTTTTCTTGGGGTGTTTAGGCCACTGACAGCTTTTGCAATATTGAGCAGTCAAGATATGAACATAGCTAAAAATAAAGGTCAAATTTCCCTTCTAAATTATGTCAAACATAGAGGAACTGGCTACTCCTGTCCCAAACGTACATATACTACAGTCGAATGCATTTGAGAAAATAAAAACCAAGAAAAATAAAAGTGTGGTTTAATCATAATATGTAATGAGTTTGGGGAGTGTGTCATATTCAGCAAGTCTCAGTGACAATGTTGACTTATCTCCACTACAACTTGTTCAAACATTTATTCGTTGTTTATCAGTTGTCAGCACGTTCAACAACAATAAATTTAGCTAGAATAGGTACTTCACTGTTAAAGGCACTGGAATGTATAATTAGTGTAACTGAAAATTTGCTGTACCAGGTTAATAATCCATCATTATTATTATTATTATAATTATTTTATTTTTACGTTCAAGGATGCTTTATGCTTTGACAAATTAATGGTGCTCCTCTTTCAGACAATTCCGAATCTGAGAGTGAAGAGGTGGACAATCTGTATAGGGAGGCTACAATGCCCCTTGACGAAGTCATGGCCAAGTATGCTGAGAACCCACAACTCAGTAGATGTAAAAAGGAAAAACTGAAAGAAAAGGTAAGCTTTTATACAAAGTCAGTACCATATTAGTGTTGTAATATCACATGTTGGTGTGAATAATAGAAAAAGTAAAGTATTCATAAGTTTCAATGAACTTGGAGTTAAAAAGTATAACTGTAACATTATTTCATAATAGTTTTATAATACCTAGATGAATAATGAGGATTTCTGGGTCAGCATCTATCATGTGTTTACTGATTTTGCTACCCCCTTAGATGTGAATGAAGCTTAAAACTACTGGCAAGTAGTAGATGTGCACACAATTGATGGGATCATTTCTTCATGAATATTTCTGTACCACTACTATTTTCTATCCTGCATTGTGTTAGTAATCATTTCTCTCCCTTCCTCTATTGTCCTAGCAATTGTCTTAATTCATTTTCTGCACATAGTCTTTAACACTTAATCTCAACAAATAGTCTTAGTTTTTATAATTCTTTCCCTACTCTCACAGTCCTCATAGTCATCTCACCCTTCTTACCCATATATCTCTCACCCCCTAATTTTTAGACATTATAGTATCTTGTGTATTTTCAGCAGGGAAAGATCTTTGTACATCCTTAATATATTATTTGCTTCAGTATACAGTATCCAGAAGTGCAGTGATTTTTGCAAATGATGCTAGTTTTATAATATTTCACTGAGTAGTAGGTACTTCAACAAGTCAGATTTTGTGGTAATGCATTTGAATATTCCATTTGTATCATACTGTACCTTCAAAATTTGTGAATTTTATATCCTTTAACATTTGTTCTTTATTAGGACCTTTTTTTTTTTTTTTTTTTTTTGTGATACAGTAATCATGGCTAATTTTCTTTTTCAGGGAGTTTCTCCTTTTCTGAAAGCAAAGAGTAATAGTGTGGTAGCAGATGGTGAGGAACCAATCAAATTTGCCCTTGATGATGAGGAACCAGACTCATCAGTTTCACAAGTGAATGAAGACTCTAGTACTGAGAACACTAAAGGAAACAGTGAAGGTAACCAAAATGGCACTAAAGATGAGACTGCCATTGAGGTAAATGGAGAGGAAACAGAACATATGATAAATGGTGAAGGGGGTGAGGATAATGTGGAAGAAACAAAGATAAATGGAAAATCAGATACAGAAGAGAAATTAGAAGAGTGTACAATAGAGAATGGAAACATTATTGTAAATGGTGATGACAACCAAGAAGCTGGAAAAGGCAAGGGCAAAAGCAGCAAGGGCAGTAAGGGAAAGGCTTTGTTGAAGAATTCAGAGGTACTGGCAATGAAAGTGGCAAAAGCAAAGGAAAAGAGAAGGGAGGCAGCAATTAAAGCAGCAGAAATTTACAGAAAAATTCAGGAGGGAGGTTCTGAGGAAGACCTGAGTGATGAAGAGGAAGAGGATGATGATAACTTTGAAGATGAAGGAGGGTATGTAAATACATATCACTGTAATTTTAAATAATAACCCTTAAATTTATGTAATAAACTGGTTGGAAATCTTACTCAGTTTGTAGTCCATTGCTGGTTCTCTTAACTACACTTATTCAGTGCCTTTTGTGGTTTATTCATTAGGAGACAATTACCAGACAAAGGTCTTTGTCATATTATAGGGATTAGAAAATTGATTGCTGAATATCTTTTCATTCCCCTTTCATTGTGTACCTTTTTGACTAAAAAATTATTAATTTTAAAGTTCTGTGATGATTGGACTTTATTCAGGGGTGTCCCGGTAGCATCAAAATTTTGCTCCCTAAAAATGTTGATTCCCATTTCATTGCTATTGTTTGTTTTTACTTTTTTTTTCTTTTTGTTAAAACACTAGCCATTTTCCATTAAAGTAGGGTGACCCAAATGAAAGGAAGTACATTCACCATCATTCATTCAATAGCTTTTTTTACCATAAGTATTCAGACATCACACAAGTTTTTCCCCTTCCTATTACCCTCTCTCTTTCTGAACGGCATCTCCACCCTCCTCCCTATGAGTGCAGGTACTATATTTTCTGCCTCCAGGACTCTAGTCCTGCTAACTGCTTTCCCTGAATTCCTTTCATACATGTTACCTTATTCACACTCCAATGGCATGTCAAGCCATAAAAATGCCTTGCCTCCATTTTGACAACATGCTCTCACAAGCCTGCTGGATGCTCAGGCCAGGCACTCTAAACCTCCTTACTTCCCCCTTTTCCTAGGACCCTTCCAGGATTGACCCTTACCACTCCTTCCTTCCACCCTGGATTATTATTATTTCATATAATAAGCTTCAGTTCCTGTCCAATACATCATTTTCCCTAGGAGAAAATGGGAATTCTTGTTTTATGTGGTGAAATTGAGGTCTCCAAGATACCTATAACTGAAGGAATAAAGAATGTTATAAATTATATGTATACAATATTTTTTTTTATATCTGATTCTATGTGATTACATTAATGTAAATCAGCATTAACAGATTAGGATGGGTAGCACTTAATAAAATGCAACTACAAACCCATATAACCTTTTAAATGTGTCTCAGGGAGATCCTGAACTTGGCCAGGCATCTCCAGATGTGAGGTACACCCTCTCTTTATGTAGCTTTTGCTTGTCAAGGAAATTTTACATATTGTATACAGTACTTAGATTCCCTCTGCATTATGGGCAGATATTAATTTAACTGAGCATTTAAGGTTGTACAGTAGTCCCCCATATTCCTGGGGATACATTCCAAGACCTACTGTAGATTGTAGTGAACCCCATGTGTGTTTTTCACATACATGTACGTACATACGTATGATAGTTTAATTGATAAATTACGCACATTACATTGAGAATTCACTCCTTCACTGATGGGAAGCACTTCACAGCTTCTCTTAAACATTAAAGAACTGCCAGCATCACTACTTTTGTGCTTTGGGGCCATTATTAAGCAAAATTAAGGGATATTTTTGGGCCATGATAAACCATGGATAACTGAAACCACAGAAGCAGAATCTGCAGATATGCAGGTCCTACTGTAGTTTGAAGTTCATTTTTACTAACTTGCTTAGATTTTGACAGTGAGGAAATACTTGTACCTATCAACAGTGTGATTGCTGCAAAATTACTGATGCCACAGTTAAATTTTCATCTTGGTCCCTTTATATCTACCCATAATGGGTAAATGTCTAAATAAAATTGACTTTGCAGTGAAGAAGCTGAAGAAGAAGCTGAGGGTGAAGAAAGTGAGGAGGAGGAAGAGGAGGATGTAGAAGCAGAAGATGATGATGATCCATATACAGAATTTGCCATGAATATGAAGGAGGAGGTATGTTTTGAATGATTACTACACTCTGTAAGCCTTCCATATAATGGGCTAATCGAGGGGAGCAGGTGCCGGTAATGGCAGTTGCAGTGGATAGCAAAGAGGTTGTTTTGCTGTGATTATAACAATAGTGGATAATCCTGTAGCCTACAGACTTTGCCCATTGTTTCCAAATCAATTGATCCCAATGGATTTTGTTGTATATTTTCAGTCTGTTACATGGATGGTTTACTCTACCACATATTTCTGGCCGTAAGACAAGTAGCTGAGGTAGGGGTCATCCTAGGAAAGGTTGGAGGGAGGGGAGTCTTGTATATGAGGGACTTAGATATCCAGCAAGCATGTTAGGAGTGAGTGGTGCCAAGTCATTTTTATGAGTGTGCTGTTGGAGTGTTAGCAAAGTAATATATATGAAGGGATTCAGTAAACTGGTGAGCCAAACTCTAATCCTGGAGGTGGGAAGTACATTGCCTGCATTCTGAAGGAAGGGTGGGGAATGGCTGGTGTGCTACAAAAAAAAAAATGTATATACTTTCAGTATGTTATTTATTTTATTTATTTTTTTTTTCAACAAGTCGGCCGTCTCCCACTGAGGCAGGGTGACCCAAAAAAGAAAGAAATCCCCAAAAAGAAAATACTTTCATCATCATTCAACACTTTCACCACACTCACACATTATCACTGTTTTTGCAGAGGTGCTCAGAATACAACAGTTTAGAAGCATACACATATAAAGATACACAACATATCCCTCCAAACTGCCAATATCCCAAAACCCCTCCTTTAAAGTGCAGGCATTGTACTTCCCATTTCCAGGACTCAAGTCCGACTATATGAAAATAACCAGTTTCCCTGAATCCCTTCACTAAATATTACCCTGCTCACACTCCAACAGATCGTCAGGTCCCAAGTATCATTCGTCTCCATTCACTCCTATCTAACACGCTCATGCACGCTTGCTGAAAGTCCAAGCCCCTCACCCACAAAACCTTTACCCCCTCTTTCCAACCCTTTTGAGGACGACCCCTACCCCTCCTTCCTTCCCCTATAGATTTATATGCTTTCCATGTCATTCTACTTTGATCCATTCTCTTTAAATGACCAAACCACCTCAACAACCCCTCTTCTGCCCTCTGACTAATGCTTTTATTAACTCCACACCTTCTCCTAATTTCCACATTCCGAATTTTCTGCATAATATTTACACCACACATTGCCCTTAGACAGGACATCTCCACTTCCTCCAACCGTCTCCTCGCTGCTGCATTTACCACCCAAGCTTCACATCCATATAAGAGTGTTGGTACTACTATACTTTCATACATTCCCTTCTTTGCCTCCATAGATAACGTTTTTTGACTCCACATATACCTCAACGCACCACTCACCTTTTTTCCCTGATCAATTCTATGATTAACCTCATCCTTCATAAATCCATCCGCCGACACGTCAACTCCCAAGTATCTGAAAACATTCACTTCTTCCATACTCCTCCTCCCCATTTTGATATCCAATTTTTCTTTATCTAAATCATTTGATACCCTCATCACCTTACTCTTTTCTATGTTCACTTTCAACTTTCTACCTTTACACACATTCTCAAACTCATCCACTAACCTTTGCAATTTTTCTTTAGAATCTCCCATGAGCACAGTATCATCAGCAAAAAGTAACTGTGTCAATTCCCATTTTGAATTTGATTCCCCATAATTTAACCCCACCTCTCTCCCGAACACCCTAGCATTTACTTCTTTTACAACCCCATCTATAAATATATTAAACAACCATGGTGACATTACACATCCCTGTCTAAGACCTACTTTTACCGGGAAGTATTCTCCCTCTCTTCTACACACCCTAACCTGAGCCTCACTATCCTCATAAAAACTCTTAACAGCATTTACTAACTTACCACCTATTCCATATACTTGCAACATCTGCCACATTGCTCCTTTATCTACTCTATCATATGCCTTTTCTAAATCCATAAATGCAATAAAAACTTCCCTACCTTTATCTAAATACTGTTCACATATATGCTTCAATGTAAACACTTGATCTACACATCCCCTACCCACTCTGAAGCCTCCCTGCTCATCCGCAATCCTACATTCTGTCTTACCTCTAATTCTTTCAATTATAACCCTACCGTATACTTTTCCTGGTATACTCAGTAAACTTGTTCCTCTATAATTTTTTACAATCTCTTTTGTCCCCTTTCCCTTTATATAAAGGGACTATACATGCTCTCCTCTTTAATTTTTTCCTGTTTTCCATTTGTACACTCCTATCATATCTCTAAGTGATGAGTTACTTATCGCACATACTTGCAGCACTTGGATATCTTTTTCATTAACAATAGATACGTAAGTGTTGTAAACATATCTAACTTGTCAACATGTTGGTATTTTTTTTTTTTTTCATGTTGGCCATCTACCTAGGCAGGGTGACTCAAAAAAGAAATACTTCATCATTTTCAGTATTGTATACCATATAATGAATTCTCTGCATATTATTTATGCCACACTGTCGTGTGTGTGGCATAAATATTATGCAGAGAATTTGTAGTGTAGAATTTAGGAGGTGTGGAGTTACTAAAAGTATTATTCAGAGGACTGAGGAGGGGTTGTTGAGGTGGTTTAGTCATTTGGAAAGGATGGAGTAAAGTAGGATGACTTGGAGGGTGTATTAACCTGTATTGGAGGGAAGGATGGGTAGGGGTTGTTCTAGGAAAGAATGGAGGGAGAGGGTGAAAGAAGTTTAGTGTGAAAGGGGCTTGGAGATACAGCAGGTATGTATGAGCCTCTTAGTTAGGAGTGAGTGGAGACGAATGAGTTTTAAGACTTGATGAGCTATTGGAGTGTGAGCAGGGTGATATTTTGTGAAGAATTTCAGGGAAACTGGTTCGCCAGACTAGAGTTCTTGAAGTGGGAAGTACAATGCCTGCACTTTAAAGGAGGGGTAAATTTAGGATATATGCTGTTTAGAATAACATCTAAATGTTGTATCTGCGCACCACTGGAAAGACAGTGATAGTGTGAATGATAATGAAAGTGTTTATTTTTTTTTTGGGTCACCCTACCTTGGTGGGAGACAGCCAGCGTGTTTAAAAAAAATATGGTAAACGGTTTAATGTCAAATGCAATTCCTGTATGAGGAACATTTGTAATAATAGTTTTAGAGGTTTTTCAGTGTGAGAAAATGGTACGATGGTGATTTTTTCGGTTTATTTATTAAGCATAGTGGAATATTAATAATGTACTGTGTGCAATCTCTTCAGCCTGGCTTTGACAGTGGTTGCACAGCTTGTGTGGCCCTTATCAGAGGGACTGAACTGTATGTTGCCAATGTCGGCGACTCTCGTTGTGTTGTATCAAGAGATGGAAAGGCCATAGAAATGAGCTTGGATCACAAACCTGAAGATGATCCAGAGGCTGCCAGAATTATCAAAGCAGGAGGACGAGTAACAGCCGACGGGCGTGTTAATGGAGGGCTCAACCTCTCACGAGCAATTGGTTAGTGTGTATAATTACCTATTTGAGTTTTATAAAATGGGAGCTCAAACTCTTGGTACCACATTTTACTGTTTGACTGACCAGCATGAAAAATACTTTGTTTTGAACCTCCTGTATGGATTACACATCGTCATCGTTCATTTCATTTTATACTTAGGTTGAAAAACTTTTTGCACATCCTAATGACTTATTCACTTTTGTAGTTTCCATATACAGGTCCACATCCCTTTATCCGAAATTCTGAAATTCGAAAAGTTCCAAAAACTGAAGTTTTTTGTGGCATGTGGAGCGTCGGTTATTTGTATTACAGCCTTGTGACCAAGGAATTTTATGCTCCATGAAATGGGAAGTACAATGCCTGCACTCTAAAGGAGGGGTTCAGGATATTAGCAGTTTGGAGGGATATGTTGTGTATCTTTATAGGTATGTGCTTCTAAACTGTTGTGTTCTGAGCACCTCTGCAAAAGCATTGATTATGTGTGAGTGAGGTGAAGGTGTTGAATGATGATGAAAGTATTTTCTTTTTGGGGATTTTCTTTCTTTTTTGGGTCACCCTGCCTCGGTGGGACACGGCCGACTTGTTAAAACAAACAAACAAACAAACAAAAAAAAAAATGAAGAGCAAGTATAAAGACTTATTTTTTAAACTGCATGCTCGCTGCATTTAACAGAGGAGTAGGAATCCAAGACTTTCAGTGTTAAGGATGCCATTTATGCAATTGTTAATGCTTGGAAGGATATTGATAAATCAACATTAACAAATGCCTAGCACAGACTTTGGCCTAAAATGATGTTTGATGTAATGAGCCTACAGATGAAGACTTTGAAGGATTTCATGTTACTGATGAAATGATGATGATATCAAACCTTGTAACTCACGCTAAAAGTTTATGGGATGAAAGTGTAAATAAGTTACAGGAAGCTGATATCGAAGAAATGCTGAGCATTGACACTGATGCACCTGTTGTGCATTCTGTAGTAGTATATGTAGTCTTTATTTATCCCACTTAGTGTGAGTATTCGTACGTTTTTGCTACAATGTTAATGTTTATGAGGTGCTACCTTAGACCCCACACCTTCATTCTGAAACTTGAAAAGTTCTAAAATTCGAAACGCTACTGGCCCCAAGGGTTTCGGATAGAGGGATGTAGACCTGTAGTAACATGCTCATTTTTTTTTCTAGTATTTTGGATGTTTAATCACATGTCTCATCTTTGTTCTTCCAGATTGGAGATGTAGTTCTCTCATATTTCTCATATTTTAGTTTATCTCTGTCACCAATACGGATACACTTCACACCCTGTCAGGTTTCTAGTTTGACTAGGTGAGGGTTCCACACAGGTGCTGTGTAATGAAGGCTTGCTCTTCACTATACAGATAGTCAGAAAACCTTAACTGACTGTCTTAATTCTGCCACATGCCTAAATTATTGGGAAAGCCTAAAATTCCACAAGTTTTACTCCCTGGATACAGGAGATACATGATAATTTTCAGGTAAAAACATACTGGAGACTGATTCTAAATTTCAACACTGAAATTACTCTTTGCAAGAGGCATGTGTGGTGCAAAATACCCTTATTGTCAGGAGGAATCTTGAAAAATTTCTTAATGCTGTTCTTAACCCTTTCAGGGTTTTGGCCGTACTAGTACGGCTTACGCACCAGGGTTTTTGACGTATTAGTACGCCTAAATTCTAGCGCCCTCAAATCTAGTGAGAGAAAGCTGGTAGGCCTACATATGAAAGAATGGGTCTATCTGGTCAGTGTGCGCAATATAAAAAAAATCCTGCAGCACACAGTGCGTAATGAGAAAAAAAAAACTGACCGTGTTTTTGGATTAAAACGGCAACTTTGCACTGTATTTTCGTATGGTATTTATTGTTGTATTCTAGTTTTCCTGGTCTCATTGTATAGAATGTAAGACATATTACATAAATTGAGATGATTTTGACTGGTTTTACAAAGAAAAGTACCTTGAAATTGAGCTCAAAGTAGCAGAAATGTTCGATTTTTACCAAATTTCGACAGTAAACAAATCATGCTATGCGTCCAATACACATCAACTGGTGAATCTAATATTCTTTCACAAGTGCGCTGATATTATTTATACCATTTCTACACTAATGCAGTAGTCTGCATAGCACTAAATCTTCTATTTTTTTTTTGTGAGAATAAAAATTCAAAGTGGAAAGCAAAAGAATGTAAGAAGGGCATGGGGACGTGACTAATGAACAGAGGAAATGTTATTTTAGTGCCAGGAATGTCTTTGTTGTTTATTCTGGACCCTATTCAGAAATTGGCATCGTTTGAAATTTGTGAAATTGGCAAAATTGCTAAATTCTGACCACTGTATTGGATAGTTGAAATCAGTAAATGGGTGGTTTCTTGTACTCGTTTGATAGAAAAAATGGAGTTCTAGCGAAATAGTTATGATTTTTGTTGACAAGTACACTGGAATTGGCCGAAAATAAGGCTCAAAGTGGGCAAAATCGCTGATGCGTAAACATCATCGAGACCACTAACTTCACGAGAGCATAATTCCGTAAGTTTTCCATCAAATTTCATACTTTTGGTGTCATTATGATCGGGAAAAGAGAATCTCTATCTTTACATAAGAAAAAATAATTTTTTTTTTTTTTGAAATTTGGCCGACCCTGAGAACAAGTCTCTGAGAGAGCCTGTCAACCCTGGAAGCATTAATCAGCTAGTGCTTATAAGAATAGTGGTGCATTGCAGTAAGCCTATTGGCCCATGCTAGGCCGGACCAGTTCACATCCAACCACTCCCGTTTGTATATCTGTCTAATCAGTATGTAAAGTTGCTCAAAGTTCTTGCTTCATTGGCACTGCCTGGGAGTTTGTTCCACTACATCCTTTTTAAATTTGTCCAGCTTGACTCCACTGCTGCAAATTCTGTCTTGGTTAGATTTTTTTTTTTTTTTTTTATCAACACACTGGCTGTCTACCACCGAGGCAGGGTAGCCAAAAAAAAGAAACACTTTTCGCCATCATTCAACCCCCCTTTTCCCATATAGTTTACTAAAAATAAAAAAAAATGTTTTTTATCTCCCCCTATATTCCTTTTTTCATTTGTGCACATTAGCCATGTGTCCCCTAATTATGAAGCTTTTTTTTTTTTTTTTATACAACAAGTCGGCTGTCCAAGCCCCTCGCCCACAAAACCTCCTTTACCCCCTCCTTCCAATCTTTTCGAGGATGACCCCTACCCCGCCTTCCTTCCCATACAAATTTATACACTCTAAGTCATTCTACTTTGTTCCATTCTTTCTATATGACCAAACCACCTCAACAACCCCTCTTCAGCCCTCTGACTGATACGTTTAGTACTCCACACCTAATTTCCACACTCCCCTATAATTTTTTCACTCTTTTGTCCCCTTTGTCTTTATACAAGGGAACTATGCATATGCTCTGCCAGTCCCAAGGTACCTTACCCTCTTCCATACATTTATTAAATAAAAGCACCAACCACTCTAGAACTATATTCCCACCTGCTTTAAACATTTCTGTCTTTATCCCAGCTGCCCTACATCCTTTCATTCTAGACCTTGCTTTTATGACAGAAAATAAATGGCTGAGTTCCACTGAGTCACTAAACTCAGTACTGACCCAAAGCAATTTGTTCTTCAATCCTGTTTTAACTTTCCTCAGTTTCATCCTTCCACTTCCACTTCTAAATCTAGATCTAACAAGGTTATAGGGAAGTTCTGGTTTGGAAATAGTCGTAGATGAGTGGGATAAACTCCCAGGTAACAGGTAGCATCGCTAAAACAGAAACTTTGGGTAGCTTTAAATATAGGTTGAATGGATATACAAGTTTGGATGTGAATTGGTCTTGCCTAAACTTGTTGCAGTACTTCCCTGTTCTTATGTATAGACATTTTCTAAATGCTATCCTTATATTACCATGCGCTGTTAAAATATTTTTGGTGTGTAATTACCTATTGAGAGAGGGGATGTTCTCCAGTATTAGGTCATGCCTCTTAACCGACTGACATAATTAAGCTGAAGGGGGTGGGAGAGTTTCAGTGGAGAGGAATAAATGGGATTAGGTCAGGGGTTTCAAACAGAGTTAGAGCTAAAGAAGGAGTAGCAATAATGTTGAAGGATAAGCTATGACAGGAAAAGAGGGACTATAAATGTATAAATTCAAGGATTGTGGAGTAAAATAAAGATTGGATGTGAAAAGTGGGTTATATTAAGCGTGTATGCACCTGGAGAAGAGAGAATTGTAGAGGAGAGAGAGATTTTGGGAAATGTTGAGTGAATGCATGGGGAGTTTTGAATCAAGTGTGAGAGTAATGGTGGTTGGGGATTTCAATGCTAAAGTGGGTAAAAATGTTATGGAGGGAGTAGTAGGTAAATTTGGGGTGCCAGGGGTAAATGTAAATGGGGAGCCTTTAATTGAGCTATGTGTAGAAAGAGATTTGGTAATAAGTAATACATATTTTGTGAAAAAGAGGATAAATAAATATACAAGGTATGATGTAGCACGTAATGAAAGTAGTTTGTTAGATTATGTATTGGTGGATAAAAGGTTGATGGATAGGCTAAAGGATGTACATGTTTATAGAGGGGCAACTGATATATCGGATCATTATTTAGTTGTAGCTACAGTTAGAGTAAGAGGTAGATGGGAAAAGAGGAAGGTGGCAACAAGAAGTAAGAGGGAGGTGAAAGTGTATAAACTAAGGGAGGAGGAAGCTCGGGTGAGATATAAGCAACTATTGGCAGAAAGGTGGGCTAGTGCAAAGATGAGTAGTGGGGGGGTTCAAGAGGGTTGGAATAGTTTTAAAAATGCAGTATTAGAATGTGGGGCAGAAGTTTGTGGTTATTGGAGGGTGGGGGCAGGAGGAAAGAGGAGTGATTGGTGGAATGATGAAGTAAAGGGTGTGATAAAAGAGAAAAAGGTAGCTTATGAGAGGTTTTTACAAAGCAGAAGTGTTATAAGAAGAGCAGAGTATATGGAGAGTAAAAGAAA